CACTTGCGAAAAAAAGAAAAAGCGATGCAACTACCGCCCAACTGCTATGAGGACTCCTGTTACGGTACGCCGTGTGCGTGCGCAGGCTCGCTCTTCCAAAACAACACGTGCAATTTCTACAAACGGTTCCCTGTCAACTAGCCGCCAGTCAACGGTAACGGAGGGAACGGGGATACAACGCCCCATCGTTTACCACGGTCCAGCCCGTCACAGGCACGTTCAAGCCCTGCGCGTGCCCCTCCCCTCCTTCGCGCCATAGCCCGCCGTGCGTTCCCGCGTACCCCCTCGCGCGCAACCAACTAACCAACAACTTCCCGGCCGCGTGTATCGCTGTCCCCCGCATGTGCATCAACGCTACACCACCCACGCACCACCACCACCAAGTCTCCGGTGCTACACCTGTTTGTTGATGCGTAAAGCCGCATGACTCCTACGCTGACGACCGCGCATCTTCTCTTTTTTTTCTTGCTGCCACCGGTGACCTTCCTTCTTGCTGCGCGTCATTCGTCCACCCAGCTTTGCTCTACTACTTCCCTTACGCGGCGGTTATATTCTCGCCTGTTCTCCTGGTACAGCCGGGACGCCTGCCCGAGATAGTGCGGGCAATAGCAAGACAAGAAAACAAAGAGGGGTCAGGGGATACAATCAATACAGCCAGGACGCCTGCCCGAGATACTATGGACAGAAACAATACGAAAAACTAAACTGGGGTCAGGGGATACTGCATGTATGGGACGCGGTGACTTTGTACGTGCGTCCAGCCTGAGAAAAGACGCAAGGTAGTCCAACACGCTAACAAAACACGCAAAACGCGAACGCAACGTGTGGAAATAGATACACACTTGGCCGTATTTTCATTTGATCAGCCTGTAACACACACGCGCCGCCCAACCAGTTGCCAGAGCAAGCCGGAAGAACTGACCCAACAAGCTGAAAAGGATGTCATAGATCAGATCAATCGGAGAAACCGTGAGCTTGAAACGACCAACGTAATAGCACAAGCCAGCGCCAAGAAAACCTTCCCGCTGTGCGTGCGTCGCTCGGAAAGCTTTAGGTCAACCTCATGTTCCCGGAATCAGTGTTTTTTAGTTCCTTGATTTCATGCTCTGTACCATCGTTACACAACTACTGGGTCTCACCTCCGAATTCGCCGGAGACGCCGGGTTAGGATCACACAGGAGCGACTGGATGGATGTGAGGATGGCGCAGATGTCGTAGATGGGACTCCATTGGTTCTGCAAGATGTCGAGACAGATCTGACCGTTGTTGTAGATGTTCGGGTGGAACCTGCGGCGTTGTTGACCACGTTCAGCAACAAAAGGCAGAAGGGGTGACGGTGAGGGTGGGGGTTACGTAGTTTCGAGGATTGCAACCCTTGTTGCCTATATTAGGTGCGACAGGACAAGGCCCGGTTCCCGCTTGCTCGAGGATACTCATGATGGGCGGGGCGCGACCCAACAAACACTGCTATGCACGCATATGGTGTTTGGGTTCGAAAAGCCTCTACTAATCCAAGTACAACAGGATCCCCCGTACTAAATTCTACACACCTGGGAGCCACGCAGATTGCGACATGACCCCCCCCCCCCAGTAATATCCATGTCCAGGCACGCCCCCCCCCGACCCGCCCACAGCCCACAACAACGCAATGTTGACAGACGTACAGGAACGAAAATAAAATACCGCAGATAAAACTATTGACGAGGCCAAGCCCTTTCAACTTCGCGAGATAAAACATTCAACAGAGGAGAGGTCATCGATCCCCACACGATGAGCAAAAAACAAAAAAGACCTACAAGGTGACGTAGGAGATATTGCCCTTAGCGGACGTTGAGTGACGTGGTAAGGATGCTGGAGGAGCTGGTTCGATTCATTGGCTACCCATTTGCTTATCCCTACTTCGCGCAAAATCAGCAAACGGTCACCGTTACTAGGTGGTAGCAACCAGACAAGGCAGAGCCGCAACAAGAAAGTATGGTACCGCTGCACTACACACGTAGGGCTGGCTACACAATTTCACACGCCAACTAGGAGCAAAAACCGAAGGACTGGGGTCACCACGTCCCGTGCGTTTGCGGTCAGTCCAAAATATCGATGATCTTACTTGCAGAAAACAACAACGACGACAAAAAAAGAACTTACAAGGCTGATGACGTCACGACAACGACAACAACAACAGTAGAGACAGCGACAAGGCGGTCGAGCAGGTGAGTGCGACTCACGTTCTATCATGGCTGACTGCCGAACCCTGTGTTGTCATGAATGCCACTCGAGACCCTCGGTAATCATGGACGACAACCGAGACCCTAGGTCATCACGGATGAAAACCGAGCCCTTGGCTGTCAACCGAGCCCTTGACTGTCATGGATGACGCGAAACCATTGCCTTATCATGCATCACAACCGCGCCCTCAGCAATAATGGATGAAAACAGCCGCAACCTCCTGGTCCCAACGGCTAAGGTCTAAACTCACATGCGCGTGAGGAACCGGACGGACGGCGGCTTGTTGGGGTAGTCCTCGGAGAACTCAAGCAGGAGCTTGAACGTCCCCCCTTCCCACGGCGTATCGTCCGGCCCGAAAATCACAGCCTTTGGGTGTTAGGTACCATGAAGCGATTTACCAGCCCATCCCATCATCCCATCCCATCCCGTGTCCCGTTCCATTTCATTCCACCAACCGGGCCGGACGGCGTATGGAAAGCGAAGGCAACAGATGGATCACGGTACAAGAACGCAACGTGGACGGTATCGGCGAAAAAATACGTTAGAGTTACGTTCATGACGGAACGAATTGCCTTCTGTCACATGGGTTTGACCATGGAACGGCACGGTACGGTGCGGTGCGGTGCGGTGCACAGGGACACCGGGAGTGTCGGCAAGAGCAGCAGCCGTCATGCATGGAGAAAACAAGGTGCAAAAAGACACACGTCAGCAAAATCATGCCGCCTGCCCGAACATGAAGAAATGGCACGGCAGCAAGCAACGCCAAAGCTGCGTCCAAAAACGACCTCATCTCGCTCAAGTAGACGGCAGAAAAAGAGGTACGGGAAAGGCGAGCTAGGGGGTGGGGACACCATGATGATACACGGAGAACCTCCTGTGTTTCTCGCGGCACTCCCTTCCCGCTGGCATGGACCCTTGTCTCCCTCTCCTCGTGAAGTTATTACACTACCGAAACAAGTCTCAGTTGAAAACAATACGCGGAGAAACGAAAACGTCAAAGACGTTGAGCCCCTTTTCTCGCAAGCGGACACGGAGAGGTTCCAGCGTGTGGAGGTGCTCGATGGGTTTGGTTGCTGTTGCTGGCAGGGGGGATGGAAAAGCCAAACAGCAGTTTCTTGAGGAGGGCAAGCCGTGCACAATGCCGCCCTAGGAAGTCGACTTTGTCCAACTCTGCGAGCACGCCTTTGGCCGTCAAGGACTTGTCAATATTTGCCGTATTGTCACGTCGTACAGAGGTGCCGACAAAGCAATCATTCACAGGTGTTTGGTAGCCAAGGCTTACT